TCACCAGCAGCATCATCATCACAATCATCATCAGCATCAGCAGCAGCAACATCGTCATCATCGTCATCATCAACAACAGCAGAATCATCATCATCAACATTATCATCATGATCAACCACATCATCATCATCATCAGCAGCAGCATTATAATCAGCATCAGCATCATCATCAACATCATCATCATCATCGTCATCATCAGCATCATCAGCAGTATCATCATCATCATCAGCAGCAGCATCATCATCAGCATCATCATAATCAGCATCAGCATCATCATCAGAATCATCATCCTCATCATCATCATCATCATCATCATCATCATCACAATCATCCTCATCATCAGCATCACCAGCAGCATCATCATCACATTCAGCATCAGCATCAGCAGCAGCAACATCGTCATCATCATCATCATCATCGACAGCAGAATCATCATCATCAACATTATCACCATGATCAACCACATCATCATCATCAGCAGCAGCATTATAATCTGCATCAGCATCATCATCAACATCATCAGCATCGTCATCATCATCGTCACCAGCATCATCAGCATCATCAGCAGTATCATCATCATCATAATCATCAGCAGCAGCATCATCAGCATCAGCATCATCATCATCATCATCATCATCATCATCATCATCATCATCATCATCATCATCGGTTTCGTCATCGTCGTCACCATCAGCATCATCATCATCACCATCAGCATCATCAGCATGAGCATCATCACCAGCATCATCAACAGTACCATCAGCATCGTCATCACAATCATCATCAGCAGCGTCGTCGTCAGCAGCAGCAGCATCATCAGCATAATCAGCAGTATCATCATCATCAGGAACATCACCATCATCATCATCAGCATCATCACCACAACCACAGCCACCACCAACAGCATCAGCATCATCATCATCGTAATCAGCATCAGCATCATCATCACCATCATCATCACCATCATCATCATAATCAACACCATCAGCATCATCATAATTATCAGAATCATCATCAGCATCATCAGCATCAGCAGCAGCATCATCATCAGCATCGTCGTCATGATCATCCTCATCGACCTCATCGTCATCATCGTCACGATCACCTTCCTCATCATCGTATTTCACAGCAATATCGTCATCACCAGTGGCATCATCATCATCATCAGAAGCAACCTCAGCAACTGCAGCAGCAGCATCATCATCATCAGCATCAGCATCGTCATCATCGTCACGATCACCCTCCTCATCATTTTTAACAGCAGCATCGTCATCAACTTCGTCATCATCAGCAGCATCATCAGCAGCAGCAACATCATCATCTGCATCAGCGCCATCATCATCATCAGCAGCCGCATCATCAGCATCGTCATCATCATTACCATCACCATCATCATCGTCGTCGCCATCATCGTCATCATCATCATCAGCAGCAGCATCGTCTTCGTCGTCATCATCAGGAGCAAAAGCCGCATGATCATCAGCGTCATCAGCATCGTCAGCATCACCAGCAGCATCATCACCATCACCATCACCATCACCATCACCATCATCAGTATAATCAGCATCATCATCCTCACCACCATCCGCAGCAGCACCATAGTCAGCATCAGCATCATTCTCGTCATCGTCATCGTCATCATCATCATCATCATCATCATCATCATCATCATCATCATCATCATCATCATCGCCATCGATACCGTCATGTACAGAATCACCAGTGGTCCCCGAATCATCACATTGACCATGAGCAGCCGCAACCTTATCAACATCGTCAACAACATCGCATCCGCCACCGTGCCTGCGGCACGTTGAAGCGTGACAGAATGCCAAATGCAGCCTGGCAAGGTTTCTGCAGTCCTCTGAGGGACCCCCCCCCCTCCCGCGGGAAGCATCCCCCCACCTGCACCACCCCTACCCCCAGGGTGGCCCCAGGGAGGCCATGTCGCCCCCCTGGGGCTCGCCAAGGCGTCCATGACGGCCCAGGAGGCACCCAAGACGGCCCAGGAGGGCCCTGAGTCGCCGAACGATCGCTCGAAGATGGTGACGATGGCCCCTCCTGGCCTCCAGGACGCCCCAAGGGGCCTCCAAGAGGCCTCCCAAGAAAGCCCCCAGATGTAAAAATGCTTGATGCCCCGTGGGTGGATGAAGGAGTTTGGCGTTTTCGCCGTGACGGCCCAAGAGGCCCCCAAGACCACCCCAAAACGGCCCAACAAGGGCCCAAGAGAGGGACACGAATGGTAAGTCTAAGCCGTCCGTCCCTAGAGGCTCCCTGAACGCCCCAAGAGGCGCCCAAGGGGCCCCCAACAGGCCCAAAAAGGCCCCAACATGCCCCAACATGACCCCCAAGAGGCATCAAAACTACTTCCAAGAAGCCCCCGAGGGGGCATCCCACCAGATACCGACGAACATCCAAGAGGCTGCATGCCCACAACTCAGGCACGGTGGCAGGACTTGCCGTAGGCAGTTGAATTACCAGCATCATCAGCATCGCCGTAACCATATGTATAGCAATAGAAACAAAAAGAATAACAAAAAATAGTACTAATACTAAGGATAATAACAATAATAATAAAGTTAAGGGCAATACTGATGATAATAAGACATAAAGGTGAACATAACTAGAATAGCAATGATGGGAGAGAGCGTGATCCACCGCCGCTTTACTGTGGAAAATTGCCAACCTTTTCCTCCGGAACCCGGGGGTCTCCCCCCCCCCCCCCTCCGAAAATCCCCCCCCCCCTGCCGGAACCCCTCCCCCCCCCCCCCCCCTCTCCCCCGGCAAAACCCCCCCCCTCCCCTAACCCCCCCCCCCCCCCCCCCCCCCCCTCCCGCTCGAAAACCGGGGGGGTCACTACCGGTTCGAACCCCTCCCCCCCCCCCCCCCCCCCTCCGGATCCGGAAAACCAGGGGGGGTCACTACCGGTTCGAACCCCCCCCCCCCCCCCCCCCCCCCCCCCCCCCCCCCTACTCACCGCCAGCAAACGACTCCCGGTCCCCACCACCGTCCGCATCACATCCCCCGCTGGTGTTCCCAGCACCACTGTCCTCACCACCGCTGTCCCCACTGGTTCCACCACCGCCCCTACTGTCCCCACCAGTGGCCCCACCACTGTCGCACTGTCCCCGCTGTCCCCAGAACTGTTCCCACCACGGTTCCACTCTCCCCACTGTCTCCACGGCCCCAACCACTGCCCGACTATCCCCACTGTCCCCACTGTCCCACTGACTCCTCCGCTGTCCCACTGAGCTGTCCCACTGTTCCCACCACTGTCCCCACTGTCCCCACCACTGTCCCCACTGTACCTCTGTCCCATTGTCCCACCGCCGTCCTCGCCACCGCTTTCACCACTGTCCCCACCACCATTGTACCCTCCACTGTCCCACTGTTTCCACCTCGTTCCCATTGTCCCCACACCACTGTCCCCACCACCACCGTCACCACCACTGTCCACTGTCCCCCTCTGTTCCCACCATTGTCCCCACCACTGTCCCCACCACTACCGTCCCCACAGCTGTCCCACTGTCCCCACCACTGTCCCGCTATCCCCTCACCACTGTCCCCACCACTACCGTCCCCACCACTGTCCCACTGTCCCCCCGCTGTCCCCACCACTGTCCCGCTGTCCCCTCACCACTGTTCCCACCAACACCGTCCCCACCACTGTCCGCACCCCCACTCGGTTTTCGAGGGGGGGGGGGGGGTTCGAACCGGTAGTGACCCCCCCCCCCTTTTCATGATGAGCTGGGGGGGGGGGGGGGGGGGGGGGGGGTGGGGGGGGGGGGGGGGTTCGAACCGGTAGTGACCCCCCCCGGTTTTCCGGAGGGGGGGGGGGGGGAGGGGTTCGAACCGGTAGTGACCCCCCCCGGTTTTCCGCCAGCAGCGGTAGAACACGCTCTTTCAATGATGGCAATACGAATAATAACAACAGCGATAACGATACTAACAAATATAAGAATACCAAAAGTCAGATTGGTAATTGTAAAAGTAGTAAAAGTACAAATACCAATACCAATATGAATATTAATCGGAATACGAATGCGAATACTATAGAATTTGTATACGGATACGGGTGCTAACACTGAGACGAATACGAGTACTAATACGAATAATAGTAATAACAAGAATGATGAGGATGCGAATGGGAAGACTGATACTATTTTAAAAAGCATAGTCGTTACAAAAATGATAAGAAGAAACATAACAATCATCATCAGCAGCAGCATCATCATCATAATCAGCATCAGCATCATCATCACCATCTTCATCACCAGCAGCAGCAACGTCATCATCATAATCATCATCAGCAGCAGCGTCAGCATCATCGTCATCGTCATCGTCGTTGTCGCCGTCATCACCAGTATCGCAACCACCACCGCCAGCACCATCATCATCACCATCATCATCAGCATCATCATCGTCATCATAGTCGTCACTATCGTCAGCATCGTCATCATCATCAACGTCGTCACCAGCATCATCAGCAACATCGTCATCTTCGGCATCGTCATCGTCAGTGTCATCATCGTCATCGTAATCGTCATCGTCACCGCCATCATCATCAGCATCATCACCATCACCCTCGTCACCATCATCATCTTCACCTCATCGTCCTCCTCCTATTCCTCCTCCCTCCGCCTCCTCCTCCTCCTCCTTCTCAGCCTCCCTCCCTTTGCATCAGCACCATCAGCAGTATCAGCATCATCATCATCATCATCAGCATCATCATCATCAGCATCATCATCCTCCGCATCAGCATCATCATTATCATCGTCACCATCAGCATCATCATGATCATTATCATCCTCAGCAGCATCATCATCCTCATCATCCTCCTCTTCCTCCTCCTCCCCCGCGCCCTCCTGCTCCTTCTCCTCCTCGACCTCCTCCTTTTCCTGTTTCTCCTGCTGCTCCCCTCCCTCCCCCCCGAGGGAAAGCAGAAGGAAGGACGGGGGCGGGAGTAAGTACCCCTGCCCTGGGGCAGGAGCCACCGTGGCTCCTGGCAGAAGAACTCCTCGACGTTGGACACATCGATCTCGGTCTGGTTGCCCGCGTCCGCCTCCGAACGGTGATGATGACGGTGATGATGGTGATGGTGATGATGACGGTGATGGTGGTGATGGTGATGGTGATGGTGATGGCCATGGCGATGGCGATGGTGATGGTGATGGTGATGGTGATGGTGATGGTGATGATGGCGGTGATTGTGTTCGCGATGGCGATGGTGATGGTGATGGTGATGGTGATGGTGATGGTGATGGTGATGGTGATGGTGATGATGGTGGTGATTTTTTTTGTGATCGCGATGTCGGTGGTGATGGTGATGGCGATGGTGATGGCGATGGTGATGGCGATGGTGATGATAATAGTGATTGTGATCGCGATGGCAATGGTGATGGTGATAGTTGTGGTGATGGTGATGGTGATGGTGATGGTGATGGTGATGGTGATGGTGATGGTGATGGTGATGGCGATGGTGATAGTGATAGTGACGGTGATGGTGCTGGTGATGGCGATCGTAATGGTGATGGAAATGATGATGATGGTGGTGATGGTGATGGCGATGGTGATGGTGATGGTGATGGTGATGAGGATGGTGACTGTGATCGCGATGTCGGTGGTGATGGTGATGGCGATGGTGCTGGCGATGGTGATGGCGATGGTGATGATGATGGTGATTGTGATCGCGATGGCAATGGTGATGGTGATAGTTGTGTTGATGATGATGGTGATGGTGATGGCGATGGTGATGGTGATAGTGACGGTGATGATGATGGTGCTGGTGATTTCCCCAAACGGCCACTGATGGCGCCCATGGCAATCGATGAACAGCGAATCCGTGAGTGACTGTATCAGCAAACGAATCAACCACGATGGCAGGTTTAACAGTGCAGCTGGCGGCGCACACCAGCGAACCACCTCCGTCGGGTGGGCGCCACGGGGGGGCAGCAAAGCAGGCACCGGAGGGAGGCGGAGGAGAGGCGGCCGATCGCGTGATCAGGCCTCGACCAAGCTGGCCACCGAACGAACCCCAGGATGGTCGGGAGCACGCGGCGGCGGCAGCAGCGCAGGGAGCCTCGAACTTGCCCCGAAATCGCGCAAGCCAGGGTAGCAAGGGCGTGCGACAGCGAACGGGGAGACTCAGCATTGTCGCAATCTGCTGCGCTGCAGCACGCCTGCAGTTGCACTCCAACGAACGCACCCAGGAGCTCTCGGCGAGGCTAAGTTCCACAGGCCAAACTCCGACGATCAAGGAAGCACGCAGGGACAGCGGCGGGCGGAATCGCACTGCACTACAACTCCACCGAGAGGGGCAGAGCAGCAAGCAAGCAAAAGAGCAAAAGATGCGAGGGATGCGGCGGCACTCAAACAAATGCATTATCCCGACTGATTTCGAAGATGTTGCACAGCTACACGGATCGGGGGGTGGCGTTCCATGAGCAAACGGAGCGACCCTCGAAAACGTGCTCGGGAGCGGCACCCGCAGTCGCAGTACGAAGGCGGAACTGCGAATGCGCATGGACAAAACTCTCGACATGGGCACGCAGAGCGACGCCACGTCTAGTTTCGGGAGCGGCCCCATCGACACAAGAGAGGATGGGGAAGGGGGGGGGCGAAGCCAAATTAGAGAACGCCCGGGGCACAAGTCGCACACAAAGCAAGCACGCGAGGACAGCGCAGATAATAGCACGGATCGTCTCCGCCATGTCCACGGCCAAACAAGCACGGTTTGGGAAACGCGCGGGGTCCCGCAGAGGTCCACAACCCACGGCAGGGCACCCGAAAACAGCCACCGCTAAAAACATCGAAACAGCTCGAAAAAAAACCTCCGTATTTCAACCTGGGAAATCGGAAACCACACGCCAGGGGCAAGGGGAAGGGGAAGCTATTTCAACACATTTCTGGGAACTTCGCCAAATATCACAACAGGTCTCTCAGATTCCCTCAACGCGTTCACGGGCTGCGCTTGCGACACGGCAGCAGGATCAGCATCGATATGTCTGGCCATCGGCAAGAGATCTGTCACTGCATCAGCACATATGACAGGGGCGAGTTCACAAACCACCCTTTCACCAGACGAGATGGGACCAGTAGAACTGGCACGGGTGCCCGCGAGGGCGGTCTGGTGGGTTCGCCAGGCAGGAGGACTGCGGGCCGTCCGGAACACCGTCGGTTTCGAGACACGCTTGATCGACGCGTAGCGCGCATTGCACCCTGCACCACCCAAGAACTGCATCATCTTACCATTGAAGCTGGAGCGACGGCCAACGTAAAGGATCTGGAGAGCACGGTCTTCTAATTGATAGAGTTGGACAGCCGGTCGATGGAACTGAAGCACGCAACTAAGCACAAGCACGGCACGAACGCTGCGTGCAGCAATTGATTCAGCCAAGCCCACGCCCACACCATGGATCTTACAGGCACGGTACTGATCGCACTGCGCGTCGGGAAGCTGTGACGGCGCGCCCCCGGACCCACGGAGACTCCCAAGTATCTGCGCCATCCAACTTTCTGGGAACGTTCGCAGCCCCTGCCGGAGGATCCCAGAAAGTTAGCATATACAAACGGGTCACCAGAACGCCCCACCAAAACAATACCCTTACCATAGCGCAGCTCAATGCCGATAGCACCCGCGAGGAGGCAGAGCCTTCTCGAAGACAGGCAGCAAATCAGTAAGTAAGTTCGCCAGACGGAACCCGAGGTCATCAGCACACCCCGAAAGGCCGAACCTAGGAGGACCTGAAGCCAGGAGCCAATGACAGACTGGGCCCAGGGCAAGAGCAAACAAGAGCATCGAAGCCGTACACCCTTGGCGGACCCCTCGACGCACGAAACGAAAATAACCCCACATAAATGTCCCATAGCAGCACTATCGCCGTTGAGGTTCTCGAAGAACTGCATGGCCAGGAACGGAATCCCCAACTTTTCCCGGGCAAACAGCGCCCGCGAAATAAACGGGCTAGGCGACGCGGCCTTGAAGTCAGCAAAGAGCTGGGCCAAATCACCGCGCCCCTCCATATGGGCAAGCACCCCACTAGCTCCACAAGCAACGAGATTGTCCAGGACCGACCGACCAAGAACGCCCCCAAACTGCAAGGAGTGAATCGACTGAACACTGGCTCTGGCCAGAGGGCACGCCACGACGGCGGCCATCAGCCTACAGTCGGCGGATCCAATCGACAAAGGGCGAACGGGGGAAGGCCTGCGGGCAGGCGGCACAGCAGAGTCGCCAGACGGATGGCCACCTGTCGCCAAGAACACCACAGGCATTTCATGAAAATCATCGGGGACGGGAACGCGAGGATGGTAGATGCAGTGGCTAAAGATCATGCGCAATGTCTTACGCGCCAGCGTGCTTCCAAAATCCATCGGGCAAACCATCGACCCCTGGCGCGGAGTGCCAAGAACGATCCACAAGTTCAGTAAGCTCTGCACGGGTCAATTTCCACTCAAGATCAGGCATAAGAACATCACCGCGCTGGATGCGCGGTGGCAGGGTGTCCCACAACGCGGGATCAGGTGCGCGCGCCGAAAAGACGCCACCCCAATACCTCGCCAGCTCGTTTCCAGCACGCCGCCCGGAATCACGCGGACGGCCATGATTGCCCGCGCAAATGTTACCGAGCCTTACAAACTTATCATGACTACGCCACCGCTCAAGATTGCGCTGCACACGCGCACCCTCGCACAAGGTCGCGCCCAGGGATTCCGCTGGAATTCTGCAACGCCTCTTCAGCATCATCAAGCAACCAGTTACTCAAATATGCAATGCGCGCGCACAGACCAACAGGGTCACGAAAGTTCCAGCGCCCACATCAAGGAAGGACATAAGATGAGGGCACACACGCGCAGCACGAACAACAAGGCACTGAACATCAGCACGGAACCCACGCAGAGCGGCAACACACCAGCGTAAGCACTCGCGTTGCGTCCGAGCCTCACGACGCCGCAACACTCTACGAAACCCAGCACATGCCTCATGCATTGTCATCACGGCACTACCTAAGCGCAGCTTGATCAGGAGGGGCGAGTCCAACGCCGCGATCCCATCAGAAAGTAGGCCCCCGAACACCGAAGCACGGTCAACCCACGCAGGGATGGGGGGAGGACATCGGAGAAACGAGGCTTAGGGTTAACAGCCACCATCACGGGGACGCGATCGGAAGAGTTCTTCAGATTGGTAGGCATGCCGATCGTCGAGCCAGTGACAAAAAGATCCACCAAGACTGCCGGGGGGATGTCAACACACACGCGATCCAGGACGAGCAGTAGAGACAAGCTTGGGACCCTGACGAGCACGACGGGCACCCTGCGGCTGGCACGGCTCCTTCCAGTCGCCAAAGCAAGAGTTCCATTCACGAGTGAACGCACCATCCCCTCCACCAGCGATCTTAGCCTCAAGATCCAGCCCAGCTTCATCATTGAGCACAGATTTGAAGCCGCCAGGCAGGATTTGAGACGCAGCGGGGGACGGCAAAAGAGCGGGGCGAACAGCAGAGAGAAAACGACGGGAGCACCCAACGCCAGCATCAACATCTGGCATGCGAACGGCAACGATTCCCAGAAGTCCAGAAGTACCCCGCCCAAGGACGCAGGAGGCCTTCCCAGGGATCAGCGATTTTAGAAGGACGCCAGAAATACGTCGCGAGCGACTCTCGAACACAGACCAGGACCCCACACCCAGGAACGTCATCAGGGTGAGCGCTCAGAGAAGACCTGTGCGACGGGAGCGCCTTCTGAAGAGCGACCAGGCCCCCAGAATGCCCGCGGGGCTCCTGAACGCAGACGACCTAATGTTTCCTGCGCAACCCAAAGAAGATACGCCATGGAGCGCAAGTCCGATTCTCCGCATGGCTGACACTTCCAAACGTACTGCGGGCACTCCAGGCAACAACAGAGTGAAGCTTCTGCTGCAGGAAAAGAGGACCTGCGCTGCCCCAATCTCCCCCGAAACGAATTGTGCCTCATTTTGTTTATATATATAACACCAACAAAACAAAAAAAAACAAAGAAAACACTATATACCTATTCGCGATGCTCCTGACTGCCGTTCCGCTAACTATATATAGATATATAGTATTATAAGAATATGCATAATAATAAGCAGAGGAAGAAGAATGATGATAATAATGATAATAATACTAACAATAGCAATAACAATAGTAGTAATACCAATACTAAAAATGATGAGAATGATAACGATACTAAGAATAATAATAATAATAATAATAATAATATAAAAGACCATCACGCAGGAGAGAGGCAATGCCATGCGTCAGCCACCCAGCCCCCAACGGGGCATCCTCAAAAGAAGAATTGCGTTCGCCAGAGGCTCAACTGACCTAAAACCTAGTCCACAATCGACTGCTGTTTACAAGCGAACGCGATAACCCTGGACATCTCGACAGACGGCGCGGGCTTCGGAACATGATGGAGCTTCACCGCATCCCCCCAGACCTCGCTCGAAACGAAGATGAACCCGTTGCCGACCGACGAGTCAACCGACCACCCGTTGAGCACTGGAGCGCGTTTGAAGAGGCCCTCGAGCTCGCTGCAAATCTTACCCATGACAATCAACTGTTCGTTAGTCTCAAAATCGCGGAGCGGCTTCAAACGCCACGTCTTGGGGCCCTTGGGGGTCTTGAACTCGAAATCTTCATGATAATGCTTACGGACCGCGTCAACCGTCTCAGCGGCCGAATCAGCAGAGGTAAAGGCAATAATGGCATGATTCGAGAAGTTCTGCAGCGTCGCGGACGTGGCCATCTTCGCTTTTCCTCTGCACACGCAGAGAGAACCTCAGTTCCCGCATGTTGGAGAACCTTACGAGTGAACTCGCCGCCAAGCCCCACAATATGTGCCTTGGACCAATGATCGGCATTCCCACCACGCACCGACGGAGCAAGCCCTCGGAACTTCTTATTCGGACAACTGAAACCACCCTCATCAGTACTCGTCCCAGAGAAACTGGAGCTCCAATTCCGAATATTTGCAAGCTCCGCTTCGGTCTTCAAGATGTTGGCACGCTGTTCTTAAAGACCACTCTGCAAGGCAACAACACTAGCGGCAAGCTCGCAAGCCTTGGCCGACACCAGCGAGAGAGACTCACTCATCTTGGCCACCTGAGCCGTCAGCTCCTTGATCGCCGCATCAGACGGGGCCATCGCTACCCCAGCCGCGAGATCGATCGGGCCGGAAGAGAACGGCAAGCAAACAGAGCGGGCAGGCAGCTACGCCAGCAGCTCGAATTCCCCGTCGGCTGCGACCAAAGTCGAGGCGCCAGGGGCACACGTTTCGACCTTGAGCCACAATGGCTACGGATGGTGATGGTGATGGCGATGGTGATGGTGATGGTGATGGTGATGGTGATGGTGATGGTGATGGTGATGGTCATGGTCATGGTGATGGTGACGGTGATGGAAGGTGATGATGGTTTTGATGTTGACAATGATGAGGGAGGCACCCGCAAGAGGGGGAAAAAAAACGAATGGGGTGAGCTAAGAGCAGCGAAATTGTGCATGAACATGAACTTTCAGAGGTCCGCGCGGATCTCGTGGATCGGCGCCTAACCCCACTGGCAGCGCCTCTGGGGCTGCCCCTGGCGCCTTATGCCCGCAAGGGAGTCGGGTCCAGCGCCGACCCAATAAATTCGCATGGACCGCCGAAAGTCTATTGCTGCAGTTGTCCTTCTTCTGACTCTTCCTCTTTTCACTATTACGATTGAAATATTGACGTTCGCATGTCTATAATTAGTAGCATGACTCGTATTTCTAGTGCTCTTCGATGCAATAGAGAGGCCCTGCGAGATGACACAGCGACCGTACACGGTGGCTTACGCGGGCCGCCAGCGAGGCACGCCACATTGTAAACGAGGGCGTTTACGCGCCACCGCACGCGGGAAGCATATACGCCAATGTCGGCGCAATTGGACCCGTCTTTTTTCGACGGTGGGCAAACCTCCCTTTAGTAGACCTCCCCTTAGCGAAAACGGCCTGGGACCGAAACCGACGGACCTGGACCCGCAAAAATGACGGCCGCGAGGCCCTCTCGCGAAACGAAAACGGCCAATTCCTTAATCGACGTGTCAGGGTAGGAGGTCTGTCCACCCCCGATTTTTGGTCGCCCAGATGGCCCACCCTGCAGGCTCGGCAAACGGCACATCGTGGAGCGGTGCTGCAGCCAAGGCGAAAGAGTACGAGGGAGGCGGGGCGCAGGCGCCCCGACCTCTGGAGCCCAGGATGAAGACATGGGCGGAAAACCTCTCCCGAGTCTACAGGGCAGTTTTTTAATATTGATATATATATATATATATATATATATATGTCGGATTTTTAGAAAATATATGATTTGACATACATGAGTTATTCATGAATAAATGTATGCATGAACCCATCGTTGTTTTTAATACTAAATCCCTGCATTTTCAGTACATGATCCGTACGCGGAGCATGTATTAAAAACGGCACTGTAACACTCTGACCAAACCAAAGAGGCAGGGGCGATCTGGGTCTGGCCTGGGGAAACCAAAAGGTACCGATACCGCTACTCCCCGGACCTCTCCCGGGGTGCGTCCTGACCAGGATTTCGAAGCGAATCCACTGGTGACAACGAGGGCCTCCGAGGAGGCCGAACAAGGGGAAAACGTGCGAAGGGTAGCGGTAGCGGTACCTTTACCTCCTCTGACGGTCAGGGCTTCTCCCCGAGAGGTAACCCACAGCCAACCCTGGGTGGGCGGGGGGGAGAACCCCTCCTGCTTGGTCTGGCTGGGGTGCCCTGTCCTTGGGGGGCCCCTGCAAGAAGCAGCCCGCGGGCGGCTCCGGAGGCCGTGGGTCCAAGAAGCCGTCGACGTCCCGCTTTGGCTTCCGCCAGCGGAGCCGCTGCCGTGTTTCAGCCTTCTGCTTTCTGCCGCCTAGGGTGACGAACGAACAACACATGCACACACTCACACACAAACACACACACACACACACACACACACACACGCACATACACACACACACACACACACACACACACACACGCACACGCACACGCAAACACGCAAACGCGCAAAAACACACGCACACACACACACACACACACACACACACACACACACACACACACACGCACGCACGCACGCACGCACGCACGCACGCACGCACACACACACACACACACACACACACACACAACACACACACACACACACACATACCCGTAGGGTGGTCGGAGGGAGGAGGCCTGGCTATTGGTATGGGTGCGGGCTCTCGGAGACGGGGGGAGGCGCCCTTGTCAAGCGGGGACCCCCAGCTGACAACACGCACCCGTGGCCCCCATTCGTCCCCCCTGTGGGTACAGCGGAGGCAAGTCCACAAGAAACCTTCCACAAGAAACCCAACCCTGAGACCCCAGGAAGTCCCCTGCCTTCTGGTGTGGGAACGTCACGCTCTCCATCGCAGAACCATCGATACCCGAGAAATCCGGGACACCTTGGAGGCAAGCAGGATGCTTCTTGGCATGGGCCCCCACTGTATGGGTGCGTATTTTGTTGGTTCTGGAGGAGGAGGAGGAGGAGGAGGAGGAGGAGGAGGAGGAGGAGGAGAGGGAGGGAGGGGGAGGGGGAGGGGAAGGGGGAGGAGGAGGAGGAGGAGGAGGAGGAGGAGGAGGAGGAGGAGGAGGAGGAGGAGGAGGAGGCAGGATCGAGGCAGGAGGAGGCAGGGGCGAGGCGCGCCGAGGGCGGGGCCCCGTTCTGGAGCCCCCTCCCCCCCACGCGTGCGAGCGTGGAGGCCCCAGGGGCTGGAGCTCCGCATCGCACGCACCCGACGGGGCCGAGGGGAGGTCGACTGGAGATGGACGCAGGATAGAGGAAGGATAGACGAAGGCAGGTCCGAGGGGCGTAGGGAGGGTCGACTGGAGATGGACGTAGGATGGACAGGGCTGTGGGAAGGTCGACTAGAGATGGACCTTGGGATAGACGAAGGCAGGAGGGCGCCAATTCTGAAGGGGCCCAGGGACACACAAATAGATACACACAAATCACAGGGTTCCCCATATATTTTCTCACATGTTCTTGATCTTCGTCCCCCCCCACCTCCCATATGTTCCCAGATGTCCCTGAGAATCGACGATTATTTGTGTCTGTGTTTTCCCCTCCAGAAGCTCTACACATACCAAGACCCTGGCCAAGCCCATCCTAGGCCCAGGATCGGTGCACACGCCCTCCTGGCTTGGCCAGGAAGGCACACGCACCGATCCTGGGCCCAGGATGGGCCTAGCCAGAGTCGGTGTGCACGTACAGCTCTCGTCGCGTGACGAAGAGCGGCTGGCATGAAGGGTTTCGGGGCACTCGACAGTCATTCGCAAGGCTTCAAGACGGGCGTGGGGCATCACTCAACTGAAACGTCATGAACTGTAAGCTCGCGCTCGAACGTCGCACAAGATCTGTAAGGGCGCAGCGAGATACCGCAATGCCTCTTGTGGAGATGCAGTATGCTTGAGTGCGAGATGCAGTATGCTTGAGTGCACGAGGCTCCGTGGCCACCCTCCAGTGGCCCTGAGTCCAGGACCCTAGATGCTCGCTCGCTAGGTAATCAGACGTGGCAGCTCTGGCACAAGTAATACGGCCTCAGGTCCCAATCGTTGCTGGCTCCCAAATAACCGTCAAAAATGTAGCTCTGCATGCGAAATACAAGCACGAGACTGGCCTGGCTCCCAGCCAGGCCAGACCTAACCTGTAGGCGACATTCCCACGGACTCCGCGACGCCTCTGCACGTGAGCAGTCAGTTCTGGAAGTGGAGGAGGTGTGTAGGTGTATGAGGGTACATGGCGATTTGCGCACACTGCGGGCAAGCCGCCCAGCAGCCGCGGCAGGGAGATAGCGGCAGCTCGCCAGCTGAAGCAAGCGAGGGAGAGCAATTGAATTCAGGCCCTAAGTCTAGTGCTGGTACGAGCCAGTGGCTGCGCGCATATGACATTCAACAACTTCTCGTGCGAGTTCATTCATATGCTCCATTTGTTCCGAGACGAACGCGGCCGTCTGCTGCTGGTCTTTGCGGGCACCGCACTCGAGCAGGGTCCTTATGACCTGCCCCCACTGCGGATTATAACATAGCAAATTCAGGCGCTTGAGCAGCTCAGCCTTGATGGGAGCCACCTGCGCAGTTGGAAGGCACCGGAGCACCTCGCAGAGCACCCCAGCGCCACCCTGCAGCCACAGGCAATCTATGGCATGGCCATCTATCTCCCGCGCGATGAAGCCGCAGGCCCTGGGCAGCAAACGCAAGCAAGTACGCAGCACCTCGCCGCCATGCGGCGATCGGATCAGGCCTGGCACCCAGCCGCGCAGCTCGCCTATCAGCCTCACCCGCTGCAGCAGCGGTGCCAGCTTCAGCGCTCTCTGAACCGCGAGGCTGCCGTTCTCCTCGCTGGCGGTTGCGAGCTCTACGACGGCGCCCTCGAACTGCTCCACGGCGTACTGCCGATCCATGTCGCTCTGCGCATCCTGGAGGCACTTCTATCTCCCTCTCTCTCTTTTTCTCGCACGCGTCAGAAGAAAGCGGATGGAGTAAGCATTACTCGGGCCACGGGCAACGAATTGCACAACACCCTCCTGCTGAACGCTCCCAAACAGAAGACGCGTCATCCCAGATCATGGGCAACAGCACACAAAACACTCGCACACACACAAACACACACACACACACGGTTGGCATGGTGAGGTGGGAGATGACGAGGAGGAGGAGGAGGAGGAGGAGGAGGAGGACGACGAGGAGGAGGAGGAGGAGGAGGAGGAGGGAGGTGCACGAGGGGAGGGCAACACCGTGCCTGTGCCAGGGCCTCTGGGCGCCAGCCACAGGGCTTGTGAAACCGACTGCAGGAGGGTGCGGACTCCGCTCTGCGCATCTGGGCACGAGGCTTCGGCGCAGCGCGGTGGTGGACAGCACCGCAACTTCGGTGGCAACTCACAGGAGCCTCCCATGCCATCCTGCTGGCTCCTGCGAGTCGGCGCTAACAGGGCGCTATTCGGCGCTGAGTCGACGCGATTCGACGCTGCGCCGACGCGGAATCGGCGCGCTCCCATTGACTGCCAGGCGCTAGCGCACGCTGATGCACTCTGAAGACGGCGCTGCGAAGACACACTCGGGGGCATCCGAGAAGGGGGCGTCCGAGAGGCGGGGCGCAAATCATGGCTGGCGGCATGTGCGCGGCCCAAGGGGGCCTCGGGGACATATTGAAATGAGCAAAGGCGCCGTGAAATCTGGGGAGATATCGTGGCCCCCGCCATGATATCCACCCCCCTAGGCATCACCACCCTCGTTGCCGCCCCCGACACACCCGCTCCCATGATGCCGAACGCCGCGAATGAGAGCACGTCAACGGACCGTGCCTGGCGGCACCTCAGACCCCGCGAGCACCATTGCTCGTCCGAACAGGTGCGCCTTCTGAGCACGCCGCCCGTGGACTCTGCCAAGGCCCGCCAGCACCGCGGGACCCACGGGCGCCTGCGCACCGCCACAGGACACTGGAAATGAGGATAGGAGAACAAACAATGACACAGGCATACAGTAGGAGGTCGATCACAAGCAACCCAATCCTGAGCCCCCAGGACGTCCACTCATATTCGGAGTGGGAACGTCACGCTTCCCATCGCAGAACCATCAAGATCGAGGAAGCCCAGGGCACCCTGGAGGCAAGCAGGGTGTCTCTTGGCGTGGCTCCCCACTGCAAAGGGAAAAACTCCGAGGTCCGCGCGGCCTTCTCGGAACCGCGCTGGACCCCCATTCCCCGGCGCGCGCAGCCCCCCCAGGGGCGGCGCGGAAGGCACCGCCGGGGGGCGCCCCAGCGCCGATGCGAGAAGTCCGCGCGGAGCTCCGAGCCTTCACTGCCGCACGACGTGTCGAGCACGCCGGCCATCTGACGTGCGCAGCGGCGCTGCGAACGCAGAGACTCGTGGCTCCACCCCGCTGACAGGGACTGGTGCCTCCACTGCTGATGTTCCGTTCTCGTGCTCGGCGGTGCTCCTCAGACCCCGAGGCATGCTGCCGATCCGCTTGCCTGGATCAGCGTGTCTGGTTCCTTCGGGGGGATAGCAAAGGGCAGGGTAGAGAATCAGCTCACGTAGCTGATTTTCCCAGCGACTCCCGGCGCTTCCCGGCGCTGGGAGGCGCCCATGTATCGAGGAATAGGCCTGGCGGCGGGGCCGAAGCCAGCTGCATGCAGCAAATGTCGCACCCCCCCCCTCTCCTTATCATCCCCCTGTCGCCCGGCCCGACTCCTTGAGCCCGAGCCTTTCTGTTTATATGTCATTGCTTGCTCCCCGAAGGGGCGCCTGCGCACCTCCACAGGACACGGGAGGTGACGGGTGGGTGGGCCCGGGCAGGCCGGGCCTGGGTTCGAGCGTCACGGTCGCGGGGGCGCAGGACGCAGGACGCAGCACATAACGCGCGAGCAACGAGCCGCCAACACGGCAGCTCAGGAACGAAGCAGCGCCTCGAAGGAGGAGGCGCCAGCCACTAGCAACCAGACCCAGCACAAGGTTGCAGGCGGCCGGGGAGTCTGAAGTGGTTGGGACCCTCGAAAATCGGCCAGGAGGGGGGATGAAGCCAAATCCGCTCGAAATCGGTCCATGAACCCCTCACAGAGTCCACTTGGTGCAGTTGTTCACCCAGGATCCATGTTTGACGGTCCTGGGGCCCGAAAATAGCCCCTGGAGGCCAAAAAGGGGAACAAAAACCGTTCTGAACCCAAAGCCTCAAACCTGCCCGCCCTTCCTGCTGGCCGGAACAGTGCTGGACCACGTCAGACCCCCAGACGGCTCCAAGCACAGTCGACCCGTATAAGAAGGACGCGCGCTAAGGATGCAAGGGCCTTGGAAGGCCATGTCGACACTTCGCGGGCGGGGCGCGGCCAGCGAAAGCGGCCAAGGATGGACCGAGGAGGCAAGGATGCAAGGGCACCATTGGGAAGGTTACCCATCCTTACCATGCGGGTTGACTGAACTCCTCCTCCTCCTCCTCCTCCTCCTCCTCCTCCTCCTCCTCCTCCTCCTCCTCCTCCGCCGCCCATCCTTACCATGCGGGTGGACTGTGCAAGGGGCCCCAGCGGCCCTGGGCGGAGGAGGGCGGACCACCCTCCGCAGAGGCTGCGCTGACAAGGGCAGAAAAGGCAAGCTCCTGCAGCCGCGCGAGGAGCCCCCGACCACCACGCGCGGTCCGCGCGGGCCGTATCGTCTGGAGGAGGAGGAGGAGGAGGAGGAGGAGGAGGAGGAGGAGGAAGGAGAAGAAGAAGAAGAGGAGGAGTAGGAGGAGGAGCTGTCCATGTTGGGAAGGCTCATCGGTCAATCAATGCTCCCTCGTCTCTTGCCATTAGTAAATGTTGCCAGAACTGTCTCCGTGATTTCGGCCTGATGAACAGGCTTGTTAAGCACCTATCGAACGCCCCGACATGTTGGCGATCATTTACCGCCAGCGCCTACAGGCCATGCCAAAACGAGTTGCAGGAAGCGCGCGAGAGCGCGAAGCTCGAGGCGGCGCGCAACCGGGCTAGCGGTAGACCCACCACCTTTGCGCAACAGCCGTGGGTACAATGCCAGGGTCCCCCCATTGCTCCTCGTCTCCAGTGCACCCGCAAAGAGCTCCGTGAGGCCCGAGCTGTCCCCATGGTTGCCCCTCCACCCGAGGACACCAGGTCCCAGTGGCTACCCCCAAGAAGCCCACCAGGGCCATCATGTACGTTCTGCATTTGTTCTCGGGACATCGTCGTGCAAATGACGTGCAAGACCCCCTAGAGGCCCTGGTCAGACTCCATCCTGCCAATCTCTACGTGTTGAGTATTGATATTGTTAATGATGGGGTCCTAAGAGACTTAACGTCCGACCACGGCATTTTTCTTTGGGTAGAGATGCTGCGCTCGGGTCGTATCGCGGGGGTCATCATGGGGCATCCCTGTGAGAGCTGGTCCGCGGCGAGATTCAGGCCAGCTCCCAATGCCCGTCGCCCACCCAGGCCTCTGCGCTCTTCGGATCACCTATGGGGATTGGGTCACTTGGGTAGCAAGGAAAAACCAAGAAGTTGCTGTTGCTAGCAAGCTTCTCCGCACGTCGCTCACCTTTCTTCACGAAGCTTGGACTCACCAGATCCCAGCGATCATGGAACATCCAGCCCAGTGTGATTGGATCCCAGATGCCCCCATCATATGGAAGCTGCCTGAAGTTCGCGCGCTTGCTGCCCGTCCGAACGTCTGCCTGCACACCCTGCATCAGTGCAGGTTTGGAGCCCGCGTGAGAAAACCGACCACCCTTCTGGCAGTCCATACCCCTTCTCTGGCGCAACGATTAGGCACGATGCATGACGGGCCCCTCTGCAATCATCCTCAGGGACATCGAGCCTTGGATGGCCTCACTGAGGCCAACACCTGGGACACCGCCAGAGCCAAGGTGTACCCCTCGGGTCATTGCATCCTCCTGGCGTCCACCATGCTGCAAGAGGCTCGTCAGCGCTGGCCGATCATCGCAGGCAGTCTTGACAGGTTGGGACCTTGCACGCGAGAGAAAGCTTAGGGAATCGGGCGACGACTGGTCACTGCCACACGGATTACGGAAATTTCATACGCCACGGGATCCTTATGTGTACACCGTTGCAGGCTCGGATTGTGCCATGCACCAACGGAGGTAACGCCCAATTGTGTCGACATAGGACAGTCTCTCCTCACCTCCGACTGCTGCTCAAGCTAGGTGTTTGGGGAAGGGCCTGGGCGGGAAGGTATGCCGTGTTCACGAGCCCCGCAAGAGTCAACAAAAAAAGACGCTCAAGTGTTGCGGCTTAACAGCAACGCGTCATTGACAGTACCCAGCATACGGATGAAAGGCTCTTCTTAACCTCCCCCCATTTTCCATGGCCTGTAATCCCTTGGTGCGCCTTATGCAGTAGATGTTATGCAGGCCGCCACAGCTGCCACCGCTGCTTGCTGCTCTCTTGTCCTTTTCCTGTTCTCTTTTTCCCATCCAGCAAAGGCTTCAACCGTCTCTGCCTGAGTATGAATGAATGAATGAATGAATGAATGAATGAATGAATGAATGAATGAATGAATGAATGAATAAGGAGCGCACGTAGCTTAATGAATGAATAAGGAGGAGGAGGAGGAGGAGAAGGAGCTCCTGCAGCCGCGCGAATAGCCCCGACCGCCACTCGCGGTCCGCGCGGGCCCTGTCGTCTGAAGTGAACCTGTTGTGCTCCTGGACGGCGCGCCGGATGATCGGCAGTGAAAATACCCCTACAGCCAAGTCGCGCAAGAATTCAACCCGTATCATAAGGATGCGCGGTAAGGATGCAAAGGCCTTGGAGGCCCTCGTGAACGTTCTTCGAACGAGGTTGCCCAGCGAAAGTCGCTGAGAATGGGCCGAAGGGGCAAAGATGCAAGGGTAACCTTGAAAAAGTCGCTCATCCCCACTATGCGGGTTGACTGTAAGGATGCAAGGGTCGTGGAGGGCAATGTTGGCGTTCT